ATGACGGGACAGAGATGACGAGGAAGGAGGAAGCTGGAGAAGAGGAGGTAGAGCTAGAGACAGGTAAGGCAACTGGGACAGATGGAGGGGGCATGTTGGAGAATGAGCAAATACATGAGGGCAGAATACAGAGAAACAGTTTCCCCTTTCCCGGTCCCTGGCTTTCAGCTTCTTTACAGGGCTACGGATCAGAGAGCAGCAGGAACACACGGCTTCCGAGTCAATGTTTTAAACTGCAACAAATGCAGACAGCCTTATTGAATTCTCACTCTCCCTGCGACAAACAAACACAATGCAGTGCCGCATAATCAAAATGGGACCAGTGCTGTCCGAGGTGTCACATGATTTGGAAACAAAGTAGTGGAACAAGAAATGGTTCTCAATCTGCAGCACTCCAAAAATAAGAATTTCTCATGCCCCTCAGCTCACACTCACACACACACACACACACACAGCCAATTAGAACAGTGTCAGTGTGCCCTGTGTCTGACTGTAGTGGCAGGTCTAGTGTTTATATCTCATTAAACTGTGCCAGGCCATGCCGGACCAGGCTGTACCATGCTCCAGTGAGTCTACCCTCCACTGGCCAAGTCCCTCATTAGCCCCGTCTCTGCTAGTTAGAACCGCCAACGTATGAATTTATCCGTGTATATTCAAAATGACAGGATTTGTTCCTAGAATATCTACAGTGTTTAGCTTTGGAGAAATCTCCTAAACACCAAAAAGTTTTCAAAGAGTCGGAGGAGTTTGAATCAGCACATATGCTTCATGTTTCCTCTTAAACACACACACACACCAAGTGGGGTCACATGACACTATTAGACCAGTGTGGTTTGTGTTGACTATACCTTCCCTGCAGACATGTTTGGCCTCCACTCTAGACCTCCATTTGCGCCGTCTCTCAATTTATTCATCCATCTATCCACTTTTCATGTCTGCCATCTTTCTCTCATTTCCCATCGGAAAGGGAAGCAGATTATTTGTCCTCTCTCTCTCCTCCAAACTCTCCCTGTGTACGGTCTCATTACACTCCTCTCTTGCCTCTTTCCTTCTTTCTATTAATTGCTCCTGTTGCTCCCTCTTTTTTTTTTACTCCTGGTCTCGCCATCCCCAAATGTCCTTGCCGTTCTTTTACTTTCCTTCCTCACACGGCTCCCTTTCTTTCCTTTCCTTCCCCAAATTTTTATGGCTGCTTTCCACTTCTGCCGTTTTCCAGTGTGTGTATGCAAGTGTGTGTATAGGTGTGTGTGCGTGTGTGTGTTTGTGTGCATGAGCGTCCGTCTCCGCCGCCCGACTGCAATTCATCATCATTTTTAGCTGCCTTATGCCATCAGGACCCCTGATAGTTCCCATTTCTCCTTTAACAAACAGCTGCTCACCCAGCACACAAAAGAATAACACATCTTATCCCAAACTAGATATACTCCCGTCCCCATGTCGCTGCCTTTTTCCCCACTGGTGAACGCGTGAGAGAAAGAGGGTGATGGAGTGGCCGGGTGGTCTATCGGACAGAAGATAATGGTGTAGGCTCTGTGCTGATATTATCTTTCCTCTTATTCCTGTCTTCCAGCGAGAAACAAGAGGGATAAAGAGTGAAAGAGAGGAGGAAGATAGACACACTGAGGCAGAAATGGGAAAAATGCTAAGAAGAGGTGGTGGTAAGGGAACAGAGGGATAAAAAAAAGTCCTGAATTGTTCTCTCTTCAAGCTTGGCCTTCAAAACACGGCCAGCTGCGATCCGCCGGCCTCACCGACCCCAAAGTGTGGCCATTTGTGTGTACAAGCGCCGTGTGTACATGTGTTTGTTCGCTCCTATGGCGCCCGTTGGCGCTCTGAGCACAACTTCCCAGCCCACAGCGCAGCATCTTATTGTCCTTTGTACTTTCACCTCAGCCTCTATGTGTCAGTGGTTTGGGCTTGTTTGGCAATAAGAAATATGGAGAGGACATAAAATGATTTTCTCCATCTTGTTATAAGAACTCAGCCCATCTGTCATTGTCAACTTTCACAGGTTCTATAAATTTGGAATTATGTTTGGCTCAGGACCCAAGTTCAAAAGTGAGAAAGGGGAAAGCAATCAGTGTAGAGCTTTGATTCAGGAGCAAAATCCCAAACATTTCATTTTTAAAAGTCTACCCACGTTGGCCTACTCGTGTTTAGATTCTTTCTCATGTCCCGATGCTGTTGTCTCGTTCCCTCTTTGGTATGTATCAGTAACCAGATACAGAAATAACATAGCATCAATATTTTTTCCTCCATAAGTAGATATGGAAAGTCAATACCTGACAAGCTTAGCGTGGAGCTGATGTTACACTATCGTCCATCATGTGTGTCACACATACAGTAGGTTATTGACAGCCTTCTGTAAGGTGATCCTATATAACAGTCTTGAGTTATTCCAGTCAGTGCAAAAGGAATAAAGTACGGGAAAGTGGAGTTTAAACATGATCCAATGGTTGATATTCTGGGGATAGTTTTCTGCCTCTGGGTAGTGTGATGATATTGTATGCAACATAGCTGTATGAGTGTTTTGGCCTTAGGGGAGACTTGCTTTTCTCTCTGATAGCCTCTCGTCTCCCATTCACCTTTCTCCATTCATCGCTCGCTTGTGTACTACGCTGCAATTCGGCCCTCTCCATTTTGTACCCCTCTCCGTTTTAACTTCATAGAAATTCATGCCACAGCTCTTCCTTCTCTGCCCTTTTTCTTGCTACAAGTGAGTGAGTGTATATCAGCTTGACTCACTGGTAAACACCTCAAACCCAAGGCTAAACTGTGGATTAGCACTGCTGTGTTTATCCCGTTGATTAGCAAAGCCCCCCCAGACTCTGCATAGGTGTTTTGAGCAGGGCCAGCACAAACATGCACATGTGCACACAAACGCGCACACACAGATAGACAGTGATTCACCTCCATCCCCATAGCTGTGTGCATAACGGAAGTTTATTTCTACTGCAGAGTCATACATGATTCATTGAGTTGGTGCAGAATACTGTCAAAGTAGGAACAAACATGGAGGGGTGCGCATGGAGAGAGAGATGAAGGTCCATAAACGGATAAACTAATATTTAAGACGCTCATTCTTGTGAAATACTGCTCCACAGCTATAATAAGACTCCCATTCGAATAATTCATGACACATAATTACACTCATAAACTCAAACCGGGATGAATTATGCCGTAATGGCAAATTCATGCAGCTGGCACCTTTTTCATCCACAGAATCTAACTATGGCCTCACAGGGACTCGATGCACACGGCGCAACAACATCTTACCGCGCCGCCAAGTTGCTACGACTAACTGCTAACAAGGGCTAAGCGCTGACAACCCAATGCTAATTGCTGCTCGAATGTCTGCTTTGTGGACATCAGATAGAAGATTTCTGCGTTTGGCCGGGGTTGGTCCATGTTGCTGATTAGCGGCGGCCTTGCAGCCACAATAAACAGTCAATAAAGAGAGATCTCTGTGGGGAGACAACCCTACCGCTAGCTAATTAGCCCCCCCTTCACAAACAACGTGCTAGCGCGTGCCAGCACCCCGGGACTGCCCGTCGATACGGACAGAATCAAACGCTGCACTGGCTGACACAGTCTGCTGCTGTGTACGTGTCTGGTCGTGAGGAAAGTAACTGTTTATACACGGGATTATTATGACAGTAGTAAAGAGCTTTAAAAGGTGTTACAGCTTAGTAGCAAGAATTGACGTCTTCGAGATGTTTCTACTCTATTTTAATCCGTCAAACATTTTCTTTCACGTAGAGAACATAGTGACAGCTGCAACAGCCTCATCTGAAACCAAATGAACGGCAGCGGCTCTCATCTCATGACAGTTAGAAAGGGACAGCGACGGGAAAGCAGCAGAAATAAGTCTGTACAGAAGAGAGCAGTGAGGAAAGGAGAGAATAGAAGCAAAAGTAAGTATCACAGACACAGGATGAGCTGTACAGGTAGAGAGGAAGGGGGAGAAAGAGGCATGGAGTCTGGGTGTAAACATGATCAATCTGCTCCCAACTAGGTTCAGAGACAGACTCTCTTCACATTTTCAGCCTCAGTGAAGCGCAACGCTGGCTACCTCTTATCTGTCACGCTAGTTTGAAGCCTCACAAACACACACATACACAGAAACCATATTTCAACACACAGAACAGGCAGCAACCCTGTGCACAAAATCCTCTGCCTACCTGTATGTTTTCTATACACACAAATTATTTTTAGAAAACCTTTGCAAAAAACATCCTTGAGAACACTTTAATCCTGCACACACCAGCCACGGAAGCATAGAATATCATTGAAGCACAGAACCGACACTATGGTGGCTTACCGCTGCAGCTTTTCACATCATTAACATCAATGATGTATCGCATGACAATCTGTCATGCTTTAAACCACTATAAACTAAAACGTCCCCCACAATGAAGGTCTATCATAAGCAAGTTTAAATTTAAATAATGTATATGTGAACTCTTGATGTCAATATCTATTTTCCCACAATCTGTTCGATGTGGAAAGATCAGCATTGGACCATTTATCTGGATTGTGACCGAGCCAGTGTCCAAGTGGCACACGGTGATCTATCACGACAATGGGCATGTTAGGTCCAAAGTGGTCGTTAGTTGAAGAAGGCCATCATTTCAACTCTGGCCGAGTCAATGTCCTGATTCAGTTACCTAGTCCAATTGATTAGGTGAAGAGTAATAGTGGTAAATGACTATGCTTTTAGCCTTTACAGAAGTCAAAGCATCGGTGATTCAGTCTATCCAGTATTCAGGAGCTTTTGACTTGTCAATAACTAGCTTTTACTTCATTCACCATTTTCTCCAAACGTTCTGTATCCAGAATCCTTAATAAACAAATAAACAAAATTATTTCTGTAAACAAGACAATCCACATTTTTTTCCTCCCTCTACTATCACTATCACATGACGTGTCCTTCACCACAATAAGACCTTTATGGCATCCACCCATACGATCGGATTACCTCGTTTGCCATGTTTACTCACCGCGGTTTTCTGGCACTGGATGGAGGTGCTGTTGAAGCGCAGGGCGGGGACACTTTGAGTCTCCCCCTGGATGTGGAAGACGCACTCGTAGTTCCTCTGTCCTGACTGGGGCTGTGGCAGGTTCTTGGCAGCTAAGGTGATGGGCTTTGTCACCCCGACAGGGATGAAGATCTGGGCTGAGGGAACAATCTGAGGGCAGTCCTGCAGGGACAAAAAAAAAAGAAAAAAACGTTTAGCTTCATAGTTTCTTTTCTCCAGTTATGGAAGGACGGGGGTAACCTTGTGCAAATGCAGTAAGAAGAGCAAGCAAGATAATACAAGGAGTGATGAAATAAATAAAATTGTTGACAAGTAAAGAAAGGCAAGCAAGTCGTGGGTGATGTTTGACTTCAAGCCAGATTTGCAACAACAACACTCATCATACGGAGCTGTGCTGCGATGCCGTCTTCACATGTGTGTTACAGAGTCGTGCAACACTCCCACTGGCGTTGCACCAAATATAAATGCTGCAAAACATCACTAGAGCAAAAGAGCCTTTCAAACAAAGTTCGCAATGGACTATCTACCCAATAAAACGATTCGCACCACAACAGTGCTGCATTGTTATGGCAGCAAGATAGGCTGGAGTGTGTTATGGCCATGTGAGGAGTGAGGTAATGAGCTCATGAACTTTGTCAGCTCTGGCCAATATCATCGAGTGATGTGTGCACGCTTACAAACACACACACACACACACACACACACACACACACCCCCATGCATGTACGCACAAACCCGGTATTGGAAGGAGCCCTTTCACCATAGCACCTCGGCCGGATGGGCGTGAGTCCTCACATGGATGCATATGGACAAACAAGTTTCTTAATGTGCAGTTGGATTAATGTGCGCCTACGCTTGCACATGTTCCCTTCACTGAGGCGGAATAAGAAAGGTCGGTCCACTCGGTATGCAATGTTTCCCAGATATGCGTGTGTGCATGTACTGGAAGAAATGAAGTCATTACAGTGTTCGAGGCACAGTTTGGCAGAGATGCAGATCTCGTCAACACTGATAATCCGAGAGAGAGGGAGAAGAAACGGGAGGGCGGGGGACAGATCTTATACAATACGAGCCCCATGTGTGGAACTAACCCAACCTGTGTCACAGTTTGATCCAAAAGGAAAACAAAACACATCGTTGAGGACAAACCACATATTTCACAAGCTAGAGAAACTATTAATTGTGTCAAATAATAAAGGGACAAGTGCCAGACACCAAACTTTCTTTTCATAAAAGGAAAAGAGGTTTGAAACTGTGGCCTTAAGGTAAATATAACCTAAAGAAACCCATAACAAACCCAAACCCATATTTCTGTTGTGTTCAAACCAAACAATCTTCCTCTTTCTGCCAGTAAAAAATAGGTCACTAACTAGAAGTGCTGTTACGAGACGGCAGAAAAGCCTGAAATTGACAGAGTCCAGTAGAAGGACAGGACAACATGTTGACAGGAGGTAAAAAGCCTGATATGAGGCCAACCATCCTTACAAAAATATTCACTGCACATTCTCTACTTCACATCTTGTAGCTTCTCCTTTAAGCAGATAACTGGCTCCCTGTCTGTGCATTTTTCCGACCCCTCCTCTCCTCTGAGCCGTTGTACATTAGAAGCTACAGCGCGTCCCCGGGGCCGGAACACAATGCCAGAGTTTGTTCATTAGGCCGCTTAGCCCGGCCTAGTGTGTCTGATCACACACAAACTCATGCACAACACATAATCAAAGAGGAGGAAGAAGGGGCCACATAAGACCTGGGGTATGATCAAGTAAGAGGAAGGTGGGTGATGGGTGGAAAAATAGATGGTTCAAAAGGACTAAGTGAGGACGGGAATGACAAGGGGGGGAGGCGGAAAAGGGAGAGAGTGAAGAAAGGAAGGGGAAATGAAAGATGGTTAGAAAGAGAATGAGAAAATGAGGATAAGTAGAAAGGATAAAAGGGAGAAGGCGAGAATGTGAAAGCATGTAAAAAAAAAGGGCGGGAGGCGACCAAGAACAGAGAAGGTGGGTTTAATTTGGAACAAAGCAAAGTGAAACAATGAACTCAGACAGTTATCGAGCAGAAAGAAATAGAAAAAAAATGAACGGGGTCAACAGAGAAGACAAAAGACATAGAGGAGACATTTTAGAGGAATGTCTGAATCCCTCTGCACCTTTTCTTCTGTCTCTTAACCCATCCCATCCGTCCAACAGTCAAAACCACGTACCCGAGCCCCACGACAACATCCTACTTAATTAACAGCCTGGAGCCTCAGACGACACTTGGAAATGGATGGAGGGGGCCGAGGATGGAGGGAGTGATAGAATGGAAAGAGAGACAGAAGAAAGCAGAGAATCATTTGCACTTGTGGCTTTTGAAGTCCCGGCTCGGTAAAAAAAAATGCTCTTGTCAAAAGCTGCGGGCTTGCATTGTCAAAAGGTTCCAATTTAAAATCAGAAAGGGGTTTTGTGCATCCTGTTACTGGAGCTAACTCTAGATAGCATAGCCTCTAGTGAGAGCTGCAGCTAACCAATGTTTTATTCATCCATCTATTGACTTTGTGTCAGCTCAGATGGCTGGTTGTCGTTTTCTCTGGAAGCCCTCATTCCATAAACCATTCTTTTCTATATATTCAGCGCACAAATACAGTAAATACAACTGACACGTGTGCAATATGGAGGTTTACGTTGCTCTCTAGATAGAGGGAAACAAAAAGGGAGAGAGAAAATTGAGGTGTCCAGCCACAAAGCAGAACTCCTATAATGGCAATGAATGATCTGTTGGGATGGTTGATTGATGCCATTTTGCAAGAGAAATCAGAACTGCTATTGTACCAAGCACTAAATACCAGATCCTACTGCATTGAGGACCGTTGGAAAAGGGTGCTGGGAAAGATGGAAAGATGGAATTAGGAAGGAGGATATTGAGGGAGGAAAAGTATAACACGTACAGTGCTCTTCAAGGAAAACTATCTCATCAGTAGCTGTGACTGGTAGCAAAACAGCCGGATTTTTAATTATAATGTAGCGTTAATTGAAACTATATTTCACTGGGGATATTCGTTTAAAGGGGTCCTTTTTACTTTACCACTTCCCAGCTATCAATTCATCTGTGAGGAAGGATGCTGTGGTCACCTTGGAAAGATGTGAGATTTCAGGAGCAGCGTATCCGTGTTTTTTAGTTTTTTTTTAATGTAAGTACATCACCTACTGTCCTATATCTGTGGCATGCCATAATTGGCTCAGTGACGGCTGCAGGTTTTAAAGGAGCCGAGTTTCTCCACACAAAAACAGCCCTGAGGAAGACCTGATTTTGCACAGAGCAGCAGCTTGCTTCGTTATACGGTTCACTCTGTCTGCTGTAACCGGTGAGAGCCTTTTATAGTAAAGTTACATGTGTGCGTGAAGCGGAAATGATGCGTGAAGGAAAGCACGCCGCAGATGGTTTCTACACACCACAACAAAGCACAGAAACATCTGCTCTGTCGTTGCATTCTGACGTCTTCATAAGCATTTCTAACACTGCAGATGCAGAGACTGTTCAGAACGTTGCCTTGGCTAAATTTAAAATTCTTAAAAACAAGCGTCGCCCAATAACTGTGAAACAAGCTCTCAAGAACTGATTGAATTGGGCTGTAAACGTGTGGGTTTGTACCCGATACTGAGACAACGAGTGTGTGTTAATGCTGGCAAACGTCCAAGTCAAAGCAAAGCACCCAGAGGGCTTTCCTTACCTCTCCATGTTTGCCTTCCCCAACAGACGGCTGTTAAAGGCACTGTTTCCCTTAGTTAACAGTGAAGGCGTGCGTAATCATGCGACTATTAAGATGCACTGTGTATTTTACCCAAATGAAAACGTCCTAGATTAAAACAAAGGGGACCAAAACAAGCCCAAACCATTATTCCTAACAAAGAGGAATATTACAGCGCCTGCCCTATATATTTTGACATCACAGCGCAGATACCCAGTTGCCAGTTTTGATTGAATGTCGCCAGGAGCTTTCTCAAAGCAGAGCAGCTGTCATTCTAGTTCAAGCCCTTTCTAAAATATGCCTGCGTTCATTTCCAAAGCACTCTGATGTGTAGCGCACCACGCCGTTCCACACCAAAAAAAAAAGGCAGAAGAAAAAAAAAAAAATGTATGAAACGAGTGTTCAGCGGACGGATGAGCTAATCTCCACTCGCAAGCGAACAAAACACCTTTTAACATTTGCCAGGAGCTGATAATGAGACTGTCGGTTAGCCAGTGTGCGCGTGTGTTTGTGTGTGCATGTAGATATGAAGAAGGTGAGGGAGATTAGAATCAAGATATACTTAGATGGGTTTGGGTGGAGGAGGTTGGAAGATAAAGACGACAGCAAGAGCGGGATTCTATATAAATAAATAAATGTATTAAAACGCCAAAAGACTTCTGAAGGCTGTGGCGTAGCCTGACAAGATATAAATTAATAAAGCTCCAAAAACACTGCGCATATGTAATGATGCGGGTGTCTGGTCGTTTTCTTAAAGCCCCCCCGTCCCCCCCCACTCCCCAATCCAAGTCCATCCATGCATAATTAATCAGTCGCCTCTGCGATGTGGGGACTATAGATCAGGGAGAGGGAAAAAATAACACGCTAAATAATGAAGTAAAGCGATATGGCGAGCCCAAGGGAGAGATGAGATGGCACGGGTGTCCACAGAGGAACGAGGGGGCACATTGGTACAAATAAGAGACAGGATGTGTGTGTGTCACTAGGTCTTGACTAAGGGGGTATGTGAATGCACCCCCCCCCCCCCCCCTCCAGGCTTTTTTCAAGCGACTATACATTAATATTAAATTACAATATATGGAAGTGGGTGGATCCTTTTCTCCAAAGTAACATGCAGGGCGTAACCGTGGGAAACGACAATGAGAACAGTTTTAGCATCACAATTGTTGTTGCTTTCCGGGTCCCCAGAGAAAACTTACTAACCGACACAAACAAACAAATCACAAAGGAGTTTTTCCTCATGAAGTGTAAATATATAGAAAAACTAAAGCTTTAATGTGCAGTGAGATGGTGTCAGACAGTGTGGTGGAATAAAGTGACAAGGCGAAACATACAGCTCGTCTAAGAATCCATTTTTGAGAAAAATAGCATACATGAATAAGCACACGAGTGCTTTTATTTCCATCCGCATCATTTATGGAAGTCGGCTTCCAAATCA